TTGCACAGGAAAGTGTCCAGGTGGGTTTGAACATCTCCAGAGATGGAGACTCCACACCCTCTCTGGGCAGCCTGTCCCAGGGCTCTGGCACCCTCACAGTAAAGAAGTTTTTCCTTAAGTTTGTCTGGAACTTCTGGTGTCCCAGTTTGTGCCCATTGCCCTTTGTCCTGTCACTGGGCACCACCAAAAAGAGCCCGGCCCCATCCATTTGGCCCCCACATTTCAGATCTTTATAGACATTGATCAGATCCCCTCTCAGGCTGCTCTTCTCCAGGCTGAACAGTCCCAGCTCTCTCAGCCTCTCCTCATACAGGAGATGCTCCAGGCCCCTCATCATCTCTGTGGCCTCCACTGGACTCTCTCCAGAAGATCCCTGTCCCTCTTGAACTGAGGAGCCCAGAACTGGACACAATATTCCAGATGTGGTCTCACCAGGGCAGAGTAGAGGGGGAGGAGAACCTCCCTGACCTGCTTATACAAGAAAGCATCGTGCAAAGGAGTCTGCCAGCAAAGTTCTCAGAGAACATGACTAACACTTCTGCACCTGCAGGCCTGATCCCTCTGTTCCACCACAAACACACAACATCTCTCCAAGCCAGATGACAGGGACAGAAACAAAACTGGTGCTATCCTGTGTTACAGGACACAAAAGGATGAACTAAGCAGACACAGCTCTCAATGCCAGGCCCGCGGCCAGTACACCGCAGGGGCCAGTTCATGGGAAGGCATCACTGTCATCACTGCCTCTGACACTCGAGTAGCTCAGGTCAGGAAATTTCACCACTAACTCCTGTATCAAATTCAGCTCCATCCCAGTCACATACTGGGCTCTCTAGAGGGTGTGCAACAGCTCCACCTGCATGGGTGTGAACAACAGCAGGTGAACAGTGGGATGAGAGATGAGGAAACATCTAAAGCATCAGACAGAACAGAAAATCCTTCTCCAGCTGTGGAGAAGCAGATCTGACTGTGACTCTCATTCTACCTTGTGATATTTATCAACCTTTCCCCTTTATCCTCAAGAAGACACAAGGTTCTCTTGAGCATCGATTTGATGCAAAAACCTCTTCAATTTTTACTTTCTTCCTGTCAGTAAACAACCTACCTTCAAATCTATGAGCCCGTTTTTTTTAACAGGCAGATACGTGACCCGAAAACCTTCTGTCTCCAGGGAACGGCAGGAATCCAGCACGCACTTGTGCTCTGTTTGTGTAGTGATGATGTGCTTTTTTCTGGATCTATAGAACCTTGCAACACCCTGTGGGGTACAATCCATCAACAAAGAATTTGCTGTTAGACCACCGAAGAAAGCAAGATTTACACAAAATGATCAGAAACAAGAAATTATTATTTAGATATAAGTCATTTGGATCTTCTCTGTTGGCCCCAAAGTCATGAATCCAAATGGCAGTCACATGTAATTCACACTCCGTATTTCCACCAGCACTCATTTTTCAAAGCACCTCTTTTTTCATAAAGCCTGGGAAAATGGTCACTGATATAAGTTCTCAACACTATTAACAGAAATAGTTTTTTAAAAACATTTGCAATGGAGTCATATAAAATGAGACGTCTGAACAACCACATACTAAAGGTTAAGACACTACCTAGTCTTAGAAAAACATCTGTAATCAGTATCTCTGCTGTAATTCATGACAAAGATTTTAATTACGGAAGCAGAAGGATTGTATTTGGTGCATGCAAGACAGACAGTGAGTATTATACTCTGTTCCCAAAACATCCCCGTTTTCCCTCCATGTATGTAGCAGATATCACAAGGAATAAACCCAGGAATGCAAATATTTGCTAACCAGGCCAAAATATTAACATTTAAACAGGTGAAAGATGCATACAGTTCTTAAGAGCACAATTTTAACATACTAAATAACTAACAGTATAAACCTTTTACCTTAATTGCCATATTATTTGATTCTGTTGCACCACTGGTAAATATAATTTCCCTTGAATCAGCTCCTATTAAATCTGCAACTTGCTGTTTAAAAAGAAATATAAATTTGATTTGTTAAGATAAAATGCAATGAATTCACCATAGCAAAACACATGGAAAATGTTTTCAAGCCTACCCCCTTGAGCCTCGAAGGATTACACCAAGTATCTACCCAAGTTATGCTACAGGTACAAGAGTCTAAACACCTGCATCAGTACAAAAGACATAAGGAATTCCCAGGAATTAGCAGCAGGGGTGTTAAGCATTAGCCTGTCATAAAAGAACATAAAAGTTAGTAGACAAACCCAGCTGTCCTGGTTTTGCTGGGACAGAGTTAATTCTCTTCTTAGTAATTAGAATAGCTGTGTGTTAGTTTCAGTGTAAGACTTGTTATGAGAAGAATGTTGATCAAGTACTAATGTTTGAGTTGCTGCTGGAGCCCAAGGCCATGGTGTTTGGCTGTTCACAGCTGCACTAGGACTGGGAGGGGGGAAGTGCAGTGAATAGCAAACCCCAAAATTGGCATTTGGCTCTGCCAGTGAAATATTCCCTGTCACATCCCATCATGTCAGTACATTAACCAGGGCTGCCCGGAAATCAGGGGGATTCTCTCGGGCTCTCACTCTTCCGGGGTTTCAGGACTGTCTCTGCTCCAGGATCGCTGGCTGGCACAGGCTGGGCGTGAGCAATTGCACTGGGCATCACTCAACTGTATATTCTGTTATTACCATTATTATTTTATTTCAATTAGTAAATTGGTTTTATCTCAAGCCATGAGTCTCCTTCCAATTCTCTCCCCTACTCCCTGGGCTAGGGGGTGGGGAGAGTGAGAGAGCGACTGTGTTTGGCTGCAGCCAACGGAGTGAAACCACCACACCAGGACACACTATTTAAAAAAAAAATATTACAAAGACCCATACCTAAGATTAGGAGAATGATAAAATATTAAATTACTCCAATTAATGCGGCAGCACACTTGTGACTTCAGGAAACCAAAAATCTGGAGGCACTTTTGTCTAAAGTATTGGTTTCTACCATTTCAGTTGCTCTAATATCAGTATTTTTTTTTTATTGCAATAAATCTGCTAAAGTACAGCTGAACAAAGAGGAACCTGCTAAATCCAGCACAGAGAGAACCAACTACACCAGTTTTATCATTGCTTTTGATTTTCTTTCGACACTGAATTTCGCCAGCAGCAGGAAAACCACGACTGTGGGGAGCTGAAGACTCACCCGCCTCGCCTTCTCCATGGCAGCCTCGCTCTCCCAGCCGTAGGCGTGGGTCCGGGAGTGGGGGTTGCCGTAGTAGGCGGTCAGGTACGGGAGCATGCTGTCCAGGACTCTGGGATCCTGCGGGACACAAACCACCCAGCCTTAGAAACAGAGGAGGAGAAACATCTCTGTCCCTGGTACACAGATACACCTTCCCTCTGCCCCAGGACCAGCAGCACTTCTGCTGCAGCGTCTGGTTCAGCTCAGGCTGGACCTGGGAAACGTGAGGTTATTGCACGGTTATTTGAGGTTATTTGTTATACAACAAATCCCAGTACCCAGCAGTTCTGTTCTGTACCCTCACGTGTAACCTCGAGCTGCACGGACACATCGCAACAGACCGGGATTTTCTGAGCAGAAAAAATACAAGGTCTTAAAAAGTCAGGAGAAATTACACAGCAGTTTGGTAAAATCAGCTCCTCGCTGTCCCTGGCAGCGGCCCCAGCCCCGCGGTGGCGGCGGCGGCTCCG